GTTAAATCTGTTAGAATTTGGCTATCATTACTCACTTTAGCATAGTATGCTATAACACGATCTATGTAAATGACTGATTGTCTTATTCCTTTTAGAACTAAACTTTTTTCCTTTGTTTTTCCCCCCAATCCACTGTATATATGCATATATGTATATATATATGAAGCAATGTATTTACCTCATGCAACTCTCCTCCTTTTGGCACCTTTTTTTATTATAAGAGCCAATCTGACACGTGAAGATCAATAAAGTCTATATTTCTATATATCTAATATCTTATCTTATCTTACTGTAAGAATTTGGTTATAACTACTCACTTCAGCTTAGTATGCTATAGCATCATCTATGTTAATTATAGGATGTCTTATTCCTTTTAGAACTAAACTTTTGTGTTAAAGTCTCTGGCTGTGTCCACAGACTCTCTTTTCTCTCTTTTTTCTCTCTCTGTTATATTAGATCCACCTTTAGGTCAACACACACACACACACACCATTTGTTACCACATTCCTGTTATCTGCATGAATTAGGACCTGGCCTGTTCATGCCCAGAGGTAACTGGCCAATAGGACTTGGTTGTGTCCAGTCCTCCTTTGAGGAGGCGGATGGAGCCCAGGAGATAATGCCCATCACCCAGATCTCAGGGCTCTAACCCACTGAGACCCAGATAGAGGTTTTTATCTGTGATATACTTAACTGTGACCCAATAAATGTCAATTTTCTACTCTTGATCTACTCTGGTTTGTTCTCAGGTTTACAGCTGAAGAATCGGGCTAACAATATCTTAACTCATTGGCTGCCAAAGACGTCTATAGACGTCTTTTATGTTTTTCAACGAGAGTGGCTGGGGGACGATCTGCTAAAGCTTGTCCGTAAATATCAGGCTTCTAGACAGAGTATGTAGTAACAAATTGACCCTCTAGGGGGCAGTGCCACTTTTGATGGGAGATGAGCATAGACTGTAGGCAAATAAGAAAAAGGTAACGGTTCGCTATGGGAGAACATGTCGCCGGTGAGACGCAAGTCCAGGAAGAACGGAATAAGGTAGAAACACTTTTTTTTTCCTGATGAAAGAAGAGAGTCTACTCTTTCTTTTGGTGTGTTCGGTGTTTACATAGTCATAGCACAAACTATTCTGTGGCTCTTGAAAAATCAGTCAAAATGCTCAAAAAACTCTGGCAGTATGGGACTCTCTGTTCTGAAAATGGCTGGCAGTCAATGAGTTAAGATCAATCCCAGCTTGTGTGGTGGATACAGGAAGAGATGCAGGCTGGGGGAGGGTGAATTCCTCCCGTGTGGCTCCTCTCCGGCCTCACCCACCTTGTCGGACATGCAGTCGGTCATGCTCAGGTCCACGCAGAGCCGGAGCCCCGTGCACCGAGCCTCGGCCAGGCGCTCTTTAGCGATGGCCTTCAGGAGTCGTTTCGAGAGCTGGGGAGCTTCTAAACAGGCGCCTGCAGGGAACAAACCGGACCAGCCAAGTGTCAGAATCGGGCTATAATTACCCACTTTAGCATAGGATGTTATAACTGAATCCATGTAAATGACTGATTGTCGTATTCCTTTGTTAGAATCGGGCTATAATTACTCACTTTAGCATAGTATGTTATAACTTAATCCATGTAAATGACTGATTGTCTTATTCCTTTGTCAGAATCGGGCTATAATTACTCACTTTAGCATAGCATGCTATAACTTAGTCCATGTAAATGACTAATTGTCGTATTCCTTTGTTAGAATTGGGCTATAATTACTCACTTTAGCATAGCATGCTATAACTGAATCCATGTAAATGACTGATTGTCGTATTCCTTTGTTAGAATCGGGCTATAATTACTCACTTTAGCATAGTATGTTATAACTGAATCCATGTAAATGACTGATTGTCTTATTTCTTTGTTAGAATTGGGCTATAATTACCCACTTTAGCATAGGATGTTATAACTGAATCCATGTAAATGACTGATTGTCTTATTCCTTTTTAGATTTATATTATTCCCTTTAGAATTATATTCAATTCAGTTTCAATTCAATTTTATTTTTATAGCTCCATATCATTGTATAGCTTATTGTCATTGTATAGCTTATTGTCATAGTGATGATACATGTAATATTGTGTCTACTCTGTAAGTCGCTTTGGATAAAAGCGTCTGCCAAATGCATAAACATCACAACAGTTCCCAGCTTAGTATAATTATACTAATTTTGGGAACTAGTATAATTCCCAAAATGATACTTTTGGGTTAAACTCTCTGGCTGTGCCTCCTCCTCCTCCTCCTCTCTCGGTTACAGTAGATACACGTCTTTCTTATCACATTTCACCTAAACCTGCATGAATTAGGACCTGGCCTGTTCATGTCAGAGCTAACTGGCCAATAACACTCGTCCTCCTGTTGGAGGCCCAGAGGAAAACTGTCCATTACACCCGGAAATCGAGGCTCTTTGCTAACTGAGATCCTCTGGGAGCTTTTCTCTGTTAGAGCCCAGCTGATTTACTTTACGATGACCAATAAATGTCATATTTGTACTCTTGATCTGCTCTGGTTTATTCTCAGGCTTCCAACTAAAGAATCGGGCTAACGATAAATACAGAAATCTGTGGAAATCTTTGCTCAAACGGTGTATATTTGTCATTAGCTACGTTTAGAACTGGGCTCTAGTTACTTACTTTAGCATCGTATGCTAACACATAATCCATCTAAGTAACTGATCGTCTTATTTCTTTTAGAACTATATTTTTGTGTTAAACTCTCTGGCTGAGCCCACAGATTCTCCTCCTCTCTCTGTTACAGTAGATACTCGTCTTCAAGCTCAACATCCATACTTTCTTATCACATTCCACTGAAACCTGCATGAATTAGGACCTGGCCTGTTCATGTCAGAGCTAACTGGCCAATAACACTCGTCCTCCTGTTGGAGGCCCAGAGGAAAACTGTCCATCACACCCGGAAATCGAGCCTCTTTGCTAACTGAGATCCTCCGGGAGCTTTTGTCTGTTAGAGCTGATTTACTTTGCTTGTGACCAATAAATGTCATATTTGTACTCTTGATCTACTCTGGTTTATTCTCAGGCTTCAGACTAAAGAATCGGGCTGTCCTCACCAGACTGCTGCTCGCGGCTGAGCTTCCTCCTCTGTTTCTCCTCTCTCCTCTTGCTCTTCTTGGCGGCCAGCTGCCGCTCCCAGTTCCGCTGCTTCCTCAGGACGTTCCTCTGTTGGGGGAACACAAAAAAACCCTCAGAAGTCGTGGATTTTTAGGAGACGGCTTCGTTTATTTAGCCTCTTCACTGCCTCATAAAAGCTGGGAAAACTTTGCCTTTAGTCTGCTGACAAAACACAACACGTATTTCTTTTTAAAAACACATCAGGTCAGAAAAATAGAGTCCAGCTTTAACTCATAATGTAAAGGAGGCAATGTTTTTATTCTATTTTAAACGTGATACAGTTATTAATGCTGTATTATACAGTTATAGATGCTCAGCTCATGTCTCTGGTTGCTTTATTGCATCTGTTCTAGAATTAAAACAGATTATCCATTTAGTCTCTGACGTCTATAGACAACTGCACACTACTTTGGTTTCAGTTTTTCATTGAATAACGTCATTTTACGACCCATTTTAACCTACAGAACAGGGTGCATCGTCCCGTCCTGGTCTACCGGGAACATCAGCCTCCACTTCGATGTGAAGCAGCTCCATCAGCTCTGAAACTCCGTTCAGCTGCGTGTCCTCCACCTCTAAAGGGAAATGTTGTACTTTAGTCTCCAGAGAAATCACTGGGGGGAAATTCATACTTTTAATGGTCAGATATCTTTAAGGTTTTGTGTAAAACATCGTCACGTTTGCTGAACGTGTTGCTCTTTGAGTAAAAACATGAAATAGTCGTTTTCACGTCACGTGTGATAGCTTTGAAGGGAAACAGAGAAGAGCAAAGCCTGACCTGCTGAGGGAGCCGCTTCCATGTTGCGAGCATGTGAGCGGCGCATGGAGATGACGTCAGAGTAAACAATGCAAAGAGGGGAGTGCAATTGGTTAATTCATGATATGTACAAAAAAAACATTTCAATTTATTTTTTTTAAATTGTTCTATATTTAAGACTTCAGCATATATAGAAAAGAATGTTTTTAAATTGATTTTTTTTTTTTGCCTTGAAGGTATTTCCAACATTACACCAAAAGGGGGCAGTGTTTTAAAAGCGCCACTTCTAACCTGAATTTACAGAGTATTAATTGAAATATCAGAGGCTTTTTGAAAACTGTATTCATCAGCCTTACTTTCATTCAAATGTGTTAAAAACTAAAGTTATGATTCTGGTTGAATATTTTCAGTAAACATGATAAGTGAATATTTAGAAAACTACTGGGTCAAAATATCAGAATGTCAAAACAACCGATTAGTGTGTAATAAAACTGGCTAAAAAAGAACATTGGAGATTAACAAGAAGTACAGAAACATACA